TAAAGTGAATGCATGCAAACTCTATGTATTAGTTTTCCGTTGCTGTATAACAAATTACCACAAACTTCAAACAAAACCATTTTTACTCACAGTTCTGAAGTCCGACACGGTGCGACTGGGTTATCTGCTCCGGGTGTCACGAGGCTGAAAACAAGAAGCTGGGGGCACGGAGTCCTCATTTAGAGGTTCTGGGGAGAAACCCAGGTCCTACCTCAGTCAGGTTGTTGGCAAAATTCCGGTCCTTGGGGTCCTAGGGCGAGGGGTCTGTTTGCTCGCTGTCAGCAGAGGCCACTCTCCAATCCTCGCGTGGGGACCCCGGTATCGTCAAGCCAGCAACGAGGCAGCAAGGAACGCTGATCTCAGACCTGGCTCCCTCTTCTGCTCCCAGCCCCTTTCTCTGCTTTTAAAGCAGTTGGTGTGATCAGAGTGGGCTCACCTGGCTCTCTCTCCATCATGAAGCCCACCTGGAAAACCTCCTCTCATCAGGGTGTGGAATCTTGGAGGCAATTTCCAGCATCCTGCCTATGACTGAGAAATTCCAGTCTTAGACATAAAACCAACAGAAATGTATACGTATATGTTGACCAAAATAACATGCAAAATGAATGCTAATAGAAACACTACTCATATAAGCCAAAACCTGGCGAAATTCTCAACAATAACTGTGCTATATTCTTATAATTGAATACAGAAACGAGAATGAACAAACTGCACGGACTTACAACATGAATGGATCTCACACACATAATGTGGAGTAAGCAGGTAACTGTGTTTTATGGGAGTTGATGGAGGTACCTACCCCAGCCCAGAAAGTCGTAGAAAGCTCCTGGGGAAGGTACAGCTCTCACTACAAAGAATTATTGAATAAAACGGGGAGAGGGAGGACGGGATTGAATTTTAAATCGAAGGAATAACGAGCAGAAGTAACATATCTGAAACAATTATAAGCAGATGGGTATTATGAATAGATGGCAAAATGGTGGGGGAAAGTATGTCTAGAGAATTTGACAGGGGTCCAAACGTGGACCTTGCAAACCATGTTAAGATTGACCTTAGCCCTAGCCGGTTTGGCTCAGTGGACAGAGCGTCGGCCTATAGACTGAAGGTCTTGGTTTTGATTCAGGTCAAGGGCACGTGCCCAGGTTGCGGGCTCCATCCCCAGTGTGGGGCATGCAGGCGGCAACCGATCAATGATTCTCTCTCTCTCTCCCTTCCTCTCTGAAGTATATATATATATTTTAAAAAATTGACCTTAAACCAACGGGGACATGGGAGATCCTTGCAAAATGAAGGATATGGACATGTTTATATTTGAGATCCTTGCAAAATGAAGGATATGGACATGTTTATATTTGGGTTCACTGACACTGCAACCTGGAAGATGAAATTAAACAAGGAAAATGAGGAAATGAGACTAGTGAGGAGGCTATTCAAGGAGTGCAGGTGAGAGGATGGGAGGCTGAATTAGCTGGAGTGAGGGGGAGGAGGGACAGTAGAAGCACAGGGGCCTTGTATCCACCCCCCTTCCAAAAATCTCTGAGCAAGGTCCGAAGAACATTTTCATTGTTTTTTAATCCTTATAGTCCAATTGTCTCCTAGAAAACATGTGCCAATCTAAATTCCCACTAATAATATGCCCATCTCACCCAATTCTTGACAAAATGGGTGCTTTATTTTTTAAATTATTTGCCAATTCCATAGGCAAATAACTGTACCTCATTATTTTACATTGTGTTTCTGACAGAAAGTCTGGTGAACATTTAAAAAATTATTTTATTGACTATTTTTGTTCATTTTGTAAAGTGTGAATTCATATCATCTACCAGACTTCTCTAAATATGTGCACATTTTGACTTGTAAGAAGTTACTGCCCAGCCGGTGTAGCTCAATGGTTAAGCATTAACCAATGAACCAGGAGGTCCTGGTTCAATTCCTGGTCAGGACACATGCCTGGGTTGCAGGCTCAATCCCCAGTGTGGGGTGTGCCGACCAGTGATTCTCTCTCATCGTTGATATTTCTATCTCTCTCTTCCCTTCCTCTCTGAAATCAATAAAGATATATATACATTTTAAAAGAAGTTATTCATTAAAAATACCCTTCGAAGTACATTTTTCCCATACCTTTTAATTTTGTTTAGGCATATTTTTCATTTATAATAGTTTCACATTATTAGTTAAATCTATTAAACTTTCTGTTTTTGGTTTCTGTGTTAAATTTGTGCATTTGAGTTCTTCCCCAAGTCATGATTGATAAATCTTTACCTATATTTTAAGTGCTTTACTCATTTTAAATCTTTAATCCATATAAGATTTATGTGTATATGGTTCCAGATAAATTTGTTCCAAATAATCAGTTGGCTAAATACAATGGATAATTTATGCTTTTTCCCATTGATTTGTAATGCCATTTATAAAATGTTTTAAATTTTTACAAATTCTCCCGTCCTCAAAATAGGTCTAATTCCTGTTTGGGCAAATTCTCTTCCATTACTTTTCTTTTACAAAATGTTCTTGACTATGCTGGTTAGCCAGGGTTAAACTAGCTTCCCACAGTGAATTGAATTGTTTCCTATCATTTTGTACTCTCTATGTTCTAACAGTTGAAATTCTAAAGGAGATATTGGTGCCTTAAAGTTTTGAAAGATTTTTGCCTTTAAAATTATCTGGGTGCTGAAATTCTATGGTATTTTTCAACTTATTTTATAGTTTTATTTGTTTATAGATAATAAAACCATATGGAGTTCTACATTTCTCTCTATATACAGCTTTTGAGTATATTTGGGACATATAGTTTTCTCTAATTTTTATTGTCTTAAACTCTGAATATAATTTATTTTCTCTTTGATCTATTAAAGACAATATTTTAATTTTTAGTATTTTATTAATTTAAAAATTATCCTTTTGTTATGAATTGTTCACCTTATTGCCTGTTGGTCAAAAAAATGTAGTCTATAGTGTGTTACTTATAGTCTTATTATATCCTATATTTTTTATAGGTTTCATGGACAGTTGAAAAGCATATGCACATTATTAAAATTCACTATCTTTTTAAGACTAGTTTTTATGAAATTCTGATTTTTGTATTTTTGCTTTATCTATTTTGGTGTGGCTGGAGGAGGATGTGAGTACGGCATTTACCTACACTACCATCTTGACTGGAAACCTCTGTCTTGTTATTTCTTGAGCTTTCTGTTTCTTCCTCGTGTTCCTTCTCTCACCTTCCCCTCTTCTTCCCCCTCCCCCTATATTCTACTTCAGCTGATATCCGCTTCTTTGGCTTCACTTACTATCAGTTATGACTGGGACTTCCAAACCTCCAGTCCAGACCACTGTTTTGAGCTCTACACTAACATACACAGTCGTTTTCTTGACATTTTTATGTGACACGTCCAAACTAGTCAATGACTTTTCCTTCACGCCAAGCCTCACCAAACTGCATTAACAAAGACCATAACCTGAGGGTCATTGTTAGGCCTTTTCTTCTCTTATCCCTGACATCCTAACATCCCCAAATCCCAATGATTCTGCCTCCAACTTATTTTTGGAACTACTCACTTCTTTCCACCCCCACTGCTAACCACCTGGTCCGAATGACCACCGTCTCTTGCCTGGACAAATACAGCACCCTCCTCACTAGTGTCCCAGCTTCTACTCTGGCCCTTCTAAAATCTATTTTCCATGCAGCACCCAGAAAGAGCTTGCTGTCATATATATGTGATCATCGCACTCTCTGCTTTAAACCTTCCGAAAGGTTCTTCCATCCTTTGGATCAAAAATCAAACACCACGTTATAACCTACGATATAAGGCCCTTGTGGCCTGTCCTGTACCAACCACCCCAACTTCCCATCCTTTCTTGGGTGGGTGGCTGTTTATATTCCAGCCACCAAACTCCTGCACTGGCTCTCCTCACTCCCTCCACATCTTTGCAGGCCTGACTCCTCCATGTCATCCAGGTCCCAGATCAGACGTTCAAGTCCCCTCAATCGAAAATCACCTTCCCCAACATGCAAGCCACCCGGCTCTATGGTATTGTCATCATATTGCTTATCACCATCTAAAATTATATGAATAATGTGTTTACCTGTTTATGTGTTTTCATCCACTAACATATAAACTCGTCTGGTTCTTTTTTTCACCTTTGTATCCTCAGAGATAACAATCCGTGGCACTAACAGGTACTCAATAAATGGGTCAAATGGAAATGATGCTCAGTTAGTCCATCGCTGCCCTGATGCAGGCATAAAGAGATGGAGGGTTGGAGTCAACAGATCCAGATTTAATATAACACCTATTAAATGTGTCTTTTGGCAAGTTATGTGACCCTCCGTTTTTTCATCTGAAATATGTGGATAACAGTGTCTACTGTATGACCTGTAGCGCTGCTGTAAGGATTAAATGACAGAAAAACACTTGGCATCATGATGAGACTATAATAAGACTTTAATGAGTAATAGGCAGCTAGTATGTATCTATAGAAATTATACACACACACACTTTGGTGTTCACCTTCACTTGGCTTAATGGTTCCACTGCCCCAACTCCGAGACCTCAACCTGGGTGTTCTTACCGATATCATGTCTCAAAAGCACAGTCTGAGTCTGTCACATTCTCTGACCAGTTCCTACCACACCCCAGCCTCGTCTGAGCTTTATAACCTGTTAGTGATTTACACTGTCCTCTATTACACTATAATATACATTCCTTTATATTCCAGCCACCTCCTCTTCTCTTACCCCTGACGTCCTAACATCACCTGAAAATACAAACATTCCCCTCCAGCATCATACAGTGGTTCCCAGCAGCCTCCATTCCACCCGCTGCCTCGGAGGTCTGTGAATAGCAAGTACGCACAGGTCTGTACAGACACCGCACGTGCTGAGGCGCACAGGCCGACGCCTCTTTGCACTCATCGTAACATCCTCTGAGCACAGGTGAAAGAAGTAACCGCTCTTGCGGCAAAATGAGCCGCCTTTAAAACACAGAAAGGCAGGAACAATGAAATCTTGATCATTTTTATTATTTTTATTTGGACAACATATATACATATGTACAAAATACCTACTGTCAGAATCCTCTATTATAATTTTGTTTGATTTACAAAAACAGGACAGCAAAATAACTTAGGTCACTAATACTGTACAAAAATAAAACTGATTAAACAGTTGTCAAGATCAGTATCTTACAGTGTTACAGATCATCCGTGTGAGAGAACATTGCAGGCTATCCAGAGTGATGAGTACTGTGCTAAATCTATCTGCAAACTTACAACTAATCAGTTCTGTAATTATAACTACCAAATGTAATTCTCAAAAAAAGCATGATGTAGAGACAGACCTTAACGCCAGGGCATCGTTCCACAGTGGTGAAGGGCTTTCGTCTTCCCTAACCAAGGAGAGGAGTTATCTTAACTCTAAAACTATTAAATGTTTCCAGAATATGACAACTACTTACAGTATTAGGTAAAACAACGTTCCTTTCTGTTTAAACACCTGCAATAGTCTTTCAAAAAATTCCGTTTGGTTAAAAAAGTAAACAAAAATTACTATCCTGCATTTGGATTTTTTAAAGTTAAATCCATGGTCTTTTTAATATAAAAAGTAATTGCTTCATAGTTTTAGTAAGTTCAATGAACTCTAGTAGTCCTAGTTGAACCAAATCTTCATATAGTAAATCTAATTAGAATGCTGGTTCCTGTTTTGTGACATTGTAAAACAGGATTTATCACAAAGAATAAAAAGCCTTGAGTTTATACGTTACGTTACTATAACATATAAGAGAATATCAAATGTGTGTTTGTCAACACCTTGAAAAGGCAAGGAGCAACTTTTTGGGGGAAGTAAATTGTGCATTTTTTTTTTTAAACAAGTTGCTGCATTTACATCCATCTACGTGCTGGACAAAAGCCACATACAGAATTACTCCTGAAACTACAAAGATTGTCTTTCACTGACTTTGCCTGGTTTTTCTTCGTTTCTTTCTGTGAGGGAAAGATGAGTTTGTACAAGTTGGTGGGTTGCTCGGCAACCCCAAACTCCTCTCTCACCAAAAGGCCGCGTGCAGAGGGTCACAAGCAGAACCACTCCGTGAACTCTGTCAGAAGCAGGCGGCCTCCCCTACTTCGCATGGAAGAACAGATGTCCTTAAAACTTATTTTGGACACAGAAATTAAAATTTGGTTTAAAATAAGTGTTTCAAAAATCTGAAACAGAGGTAGAAAGTGTTCTTTTATTTTTCCTGACATGTTTTCCCGTGAGAAAACACTTTCCGTTTTATCCCATGGACTGCTCCCAGTCCCTAATGTTAAAAGCAGTTCTCTTTATAGAACTACTAATACAACTACGTTGGTTAAACAAAACAAAAAGGAAAAAAAAAAGCAAAACCCACCATGCTAGTGATGGCTACTGTGTTGGAAGCAGGAGTCAGCCGTGACCCACGCCCGCGGCAGGAGCCACACGGGTTCTGAACTGGAAATGAGCATGTATCGGGGGAAATAACGCGTCCGCTGGCAGGGGGGCACCCTAGGTTTACACAACACATCTTCTAGCACATGTGTAAACGCCGGTGCACCAGGGCTCCCTGTTTTAAATACCAGATAAAATTGTCAGAAAGCGTTATTTCTGAAGAAAAAAAAAATGTAAACATTTTCCCACCATCACTGCTGACTCCCCCACGTGAGGTTTCTTCTTCACTAGGAAAACTCAGTTCGTGTTTTTGGCCATGGAAAGGCCAAAATGAAGTTTTCAGGTAAATGGCGTGTAATGGATGTAGTGGTTTAGGCCATTGCAGACACCTGGAGACAAGATACATAGTGGTGAGGCTTCGGATGTATCAGGTACAGTGATGCGTCGTCATCCGTGTGGATCCCATGTGCCGGCGTTGCCGTCTCCTCTGACACCGTCGTGGTATTTCCCCTGGGCGCTCACTGCTTATGGGGTATATTTTTCTTTTCACAGTTCAGCTCCCTTTTCGTTTTATATAACTCTTGCACCTGTTAGTGGGAGTTTTGTAGGAACATGGGAAGGAGACCAACACACCTTTCCCCCCAAAAAACAAAGGTGTTTCCAGAACTAGCTACTGTTATGCATCCATTCAAATAAAACCCACCAGAGTCAAAGCCCTCTCCCTTCGTGGCATTATGGTACAATAAGGTGGCGTGAACTAAAAGAATCGGGAAATTTGGGGAAGTTAATAGAGTCAAAATTCTGTTTGTTCTTTTAAAATTATTAAAAAACAAACAAACCTACCCTCCTTCTCCTTCAGCATCTATTGCATATATTCTGCCCTCGCATCTTCTGTGATTTCTTAGGGAAACGTGTATACTGTAAAATAAGCAGATTATAACGTGGTTCCAAAAAGAATGTCTGCTTCTATCCTTAAAGCATGAACGTAACTTATTCATCCTCTGCATTACAACTTAAAGTGCAGCTTATGTTCGGAAAGTACAATTCATACAAAGCAAGGTTTAAAAAGTTCTGTACTTAGTGTAACCTTTCCAAGGTTTGTCTTGATTAGTATAAGTTCAGACGGCTTACCCATTCATTGACTATAAGTAACGTGTGTGTTTCCAAGTCTTTAGATGACAGGTCATGCTGGAGGAGGTGTGCTCTTGCTTGCATAAAGACAGCTGTGCTATGGCGTTTTTGTCTCAAAAGTTAACGTGATTCAAGAGAGTGGTTTTGCTAAAGAAACCGAAGCACACTCGTCATTACATTAAAAGGTACGAAAACAATTCTGAGAGACAGCAAGCAGAAAGGGCCCGGAATCACTGTGATGCCACAGGTCAACTCACCCAGTCACACGTATGTACACCAGTGTTGAATCTTTAAAATTCTGCCCCAGTCTTGGCCGGACCCCCCTCTCCCCACCCACGATCACCCTCCCACCGCCCCCCACCCCCCAAAAAAAATAAAGGAGAAAAAAAAAAAAACCACACCAAAAAAATTTGCTTTTCCTCCAAAAGTCAGAGGCGGTTCAGAGTTCCCTTGGGCCACAATGTGCTTTTTAAAAACAATGCAGGGAGAGGAGAAATCAGAATATTGACCAAAGAACAGGGCTTCCTGTGCTGGCAGCGTGCCTCCCGGGGGCTGGGTTTCCCGTGTCTGTCCGTGTGCGGGGAGTAGCTGGGTCTCTCCGGGCCGGGCCCTCCCTGGCTCCCGCGGGTCGCACCTCACAAGGGGCTGGCCAGGGCCTTTTTGGACCGCTTGATCATGCTCGGGTGGAACTCGGTGTGGCGCCGCGCGTGCTTGGTGAGGTGGTCGCTCCGCATGAAGCGCTTCTCGCAGAGCGGGCAGCGGAACTGCTTCTCCCCGGTGTGGGTCCGGTAGTGGCGGGTCAGCTCGTCGGAGCGGGAGAACTTTTTAAGGCAGTCTGGCCACGTGCAGGGGAAGGCCTTTCACTGAGAGAAGGGAAGCGAGAGAAGAACACGTCACCGAAGTTCTGGAGGCTGGTGATGATCAACAGCCCCGATGGCCCAAAGGGCAGCTCCCTTGCATGTAGGTGCGATGGGATGAATGATGGGCCCCCACACCCTCCCTCATTCAGAGGTTGACGTCCGCACCCCCAGTTCCTGAGAAGGTGGCTGCATTTGGAAATAAGGTCTTTAAAGAAATAGTTAAGGTTGAATGAGGCCATGAGGCTGGGTCCTACGCCAATGACTGGTGTCCTTGTAAGAAGAGGAGATGCCCTGGCCTGTGTGGCTCAGTGGGTGGGGCATCCGCCTGTGCACCAAAAGGTCCCCGGTTCCAATCCCGGTCAGAGCACATGCGGGCTGTCCCCAGTAGGGGGCGTGCAGGAGGCAGCTGACAAAGTTTCTCTCTCACATCAATGATTCTCTCTCTCTCTCTCTCTCCCTTCAGCTCTCAATAAAAGCATTTTTTAAAAAGAAGAGGAGATCAGGACACACACAGACACAGAGGAAAGACCATGCAAAGACACTGGGAGAAGACAGGCAGCTCCAAGCCAGGGAGAGAGAACCCCAGGAGAAACCACCTCTGTCAAACACCGTCATCTCGGACATCTAGCCCCCCAAACCGTGAGATATAAATTTCTGTTGTTGAGGCTGCCCAGTCTGTGGTGCTGAGTTATGGCCGCCCTAGGAAACTGGTCCCAGGAAGAAATAGCTGAGAATCATCTCTAAGCAAATGAGCTTGCTGTTTTGTACCCAATGGGTCCCTAAGAGCCTTGGAAATGACTCGTTCTGGTTTATGGGACGCGGTGGCTGGCTACATGAGTTCTCCCAGAGGAGTCAAAACCTCAGGCCTTTGCTGAATTTCATGGCATCGCAGAGATGGAAGAGAACGGGGGCATCTAGGCCAACTGACCTCCCACCCGGAGCATCTCCCGCGCTCCCGAGGGCAAGGCTGGTGACGGGGAGCTGTTCGCAGAGCGCCTGCTGCTCCCCAGCATCTCCGTCACACACACCCGTCGATATAAAATCTGCCTCCCTGCGAAGGCCATATTTTAGTCATATTTTCTTCAACCTAAAAATAAGTTGGTTCCCTCTGCCTCATAATAATCCTTTAAATATCCAAAGACAGCTCACATCTCTCTCTCTAATCTTTCCTTGTCTAGACTAAACAATCTGAGTGTCTTCCATATTTCTCATAAAAGAAGAACCAACATTACACCTAAAAGTGCAGGCACAGAGCTAAGAGAACTATCTCACTGAAATCCCACAGGACACCCCACGGAGGTGGCCCATTTTACAGATGAGGAAACAGAGGCGTAACACTCGACAGTGGCTCCCCATCCCTCCCCATCCGAGTTGTTTTTCTCAAATTCACATCATTGTCTGTGTCCCTTGAAAATGCAGCTAAACCCTGCCTTCCAGACATGGTCAGGCCAGCATCAGGGGCCTCCTGATCCCCCAGAATGGCAGGGGAGGGACTGGCTCCTCTAGCTCCAAGCGCCAGCCTGCTCTTCACACCTTTCCCAGCGCAGCCCAAAGCAGCTGTTTCATAGGCTCAGGCACACAACTCCTGGTTTACACAGAACACTCGAAGGCACTTAGGTGTGAGGAGTGAATCTTTTCTCACTCTGGTCTCCACCTTGCTGGAACCCAGAGACTCCAAAGGCTGGGAGCTGTCCAGCGCGATGTGACTGAATCGCCCAAACGTTTTCCTTCTTTTCCCCAGCTCCTCCTAACCTGTGCCAGAGATGCAGAAATAATGGTAATAACAACAAAGCAAACCCCCCATCACCTCGTGACTCCTCTACATGACTAAGGTTTTATCTGCTGTCCTCTGAGCAGAGCAATGGTGATCACAACCTCTCCAACCTACCTGCTCTTGTGGGAAACCCCAAGTGGGCAAAACCAATCTGTATTCAATACCCCCTCCCCCCCCATCTACAGGGATATATGTTACAAGACATCCATGGGGGTCAGAATAGTAACAAACCCTATATATACTATGTCCCCCCACCACCACCACCATACATACACTTTACAGCTTCTCTGCAGCTTATCTGAATTGCCAGCATCACTATTCCTGCACTTTGGGGCCATTATTAACTAAAATAAGGGTAACTTGTACTCGCTTCGGCAGCACAATATACTAAAATTGGAACGATACAGAGAAGATTAGCATGGCCCCTGCGCAAGGATGACACGCAAATTTGTGAAGCGTTCCGTATTTTAAAATAATAATAATAATAATAATAATAATAATAATAAAATAAAGTAAATAAGGGTAACTTGAACGCCATCACTGCCACCCTGGGACAGTCCATCGATAACTGAGATGGTCACTGAGTGACTAGCAGGCGTGGCGCGTAGACAGTATGGACGTGCTGGACAAAGGGATGATTCACGTCTAAGAAGGAATGATGCACACAGCAGAGTAGTCAGCACACTGCCCAGGACGTACACAATTGACAACTTATGAATTCTTTATTTCTGGAATTTTCCACTTAATACCGTCAGACCGCTATTGCCTGTGGGTAACTAAAACCAAAGAAAGGGAAACTGAGAAGGGGACTCCCATAGGCAAATTCGCTATACGGGGGTCTAGGTATAAGCTCTCACTGAGCTCCGGGCTGAAAATCCACAGCAGCAAAAGGCGACAGCAAACCAATAAACGCTGAGGCCTACCCACGGGGATGAGCTAGGGTTAATGGTGCCTGAGGATGCTCACTGGCTCTGGTAGGGACAAAACAAACAAAAAAGCAGAGAGCTTCACACTGAACTCTGAAAAACTCAACCACATGGAGCTGGAAACTACATTCTGCCACTTTTGTTGGATGAAATAGCATTTTTACCCAGTTCAGCGGAACTCTGGGCAGAAGGTGAAATGCAGGTTGTCACAACCCAACAAGGTGGAGCTTCCTAGGGCAAAGACAATGTCACATCTGACTGTTGTGCTACTTGTGTTGTGCTACTTGTGCTGCCAAACATTTAGTAAATGCTTCAACTGTGTGTGTGTGTGCGTGTGTGTGTGTGTTCATCCTCCAGGATGCTCACATGACCGAAGCCTGCTCAGAAGTTTCCGGATCCCTGGGCAAGACTCTGCGCTACTCCAGAGATTTGGGCAGCAGCCAAGTCCTCTCTTAGCCCAATGATGTGTCGATGGGAGAGATGTTCTTTTAAACATGTTATGTTAAAAATCTATATAATAAAGGATCAGCATTCAGAGAGTGATGAGTTGTGAAAACCAAAACAAACAACCGAAAACCCTCTCTCCACTGCTTTACGGCTTGGAGGAGAGGAAGGTGCAGTGTGTTCCCAATGCGTGCCAGGACAAAACCCACCAGCCGTGGTTTTCTCGGAGCCGTGGTGAGGTGGTTAACTTACTCACTGGCACACGCTTCTTTCAGGTGCGTCATGAGAGGAGGTTAATTCATTGGAATGGCTCTGTCTCTATGTGGAGAAAAATGGACCAGAAGCCCACCCCGCCGTGTGCTAGGATCATGAAAGAAATGGGGCGCACCCTCTGTAGGAGGGTGGTGTTATGGAAGTGACAGCGAGGGGAAAACTGTCAGGAAGCCCGAGTCAGCCGCGTGCACAGGAGACCTACTAAGTACAGATGCTCACAAGTTACGTACATTTCAACCGTGATCAGGGTCCATTCCCATCGAATTCACTTTCCATGGACCTTCTGGCTACAGTCTGCTCACTGCCCCTCACAGCTGTCCTCCTGTGACAGCTCTCCCTGCTTCCAACCCAGATGCGGCCACTGGCCTGGCGTCCTTATCCCTGAGTGTTCCCGAGAGAAGAGAGGGCCACCCACAGAGCCCAGCGCAAGCCAGTCAGCAGCAGCCTTTGTTCGACTCCTGGAACTCGGATAATTCAAGTTTACAGTTTCCAAGCATTTAAAAAAGCATCTCCTTGGAAGTGAGCTGCTGGTGTAAAAGCTCTGGGATCACTGTGGTTCTTCTTGGATCCTGTGGAAAAGCACTAGAAGCTTCTGAACCACGCTCTTCATCAGGGGCTGCAAACTGCGGCCCGCAGGCCCAAAGTGACGGGCCGTGTGGTTTTGTCAAGTCCACCAGCTAAGAATGGTCTAAACACCGTTCTTAGATTTGCTTTTTACCAAATCAAAAGAATAATATTGTGTGACAGGAGGGAGTTATATGCAGTTCACATCCACATACAAAGCGGAACTGGGACCCAGCCAGGCTCGTGTGTGTATCATCCACAGCTGCGTCTCCACGACAACGCAGGGTTGAGGAGTTGGGACAGAGACCGTGTGGCTCACAGAGCAGAGAATATTTACTGCCGGGTCCTTTATAGGAAGCTGGCTGACCCCTCATCTCCATCTGAAGATGTGAACTTGCACCTGGTGTAAATCCAAATGTCTTCAGGAGCCAGACACACAATAAAAACGGGCGAAATGCCAGGCGTGTGAGATCAAGGGTCATGGTGGGATCCAGGGCCAACTGGAAAGGGCTTTTCCCTACGAAAGGCATTCAGTTCAACCCTCTGTGATGCATTGTGCTGGCCAAGCAGGGTCTGTGCAAGGGACCCTGGGTCCTTCCTGGGACTTAGAACTGGGAGCCCTTTAACATCGCCCAGCTCTTTGACCCCACAGAGTTTGCATGCAGCCTACTATGGGATGCAGTTCAGCATGCTCGTCAATGACAGACACTAACAAGGTATCATCTGGGAAATGATACACGCTTCAGACCTAAACAAGCATGGAATGGGGAAATCTTCTTTAGAGAAGGAACAGAATCTTGGACGGAACAGGACCAGAGATGATGTGCACAGAGGAGGCCTGAGTGGCAATGGGGTGGCCTGCATCCTGCAGCCAGAGGGAGACCAAGTCCGGTCCTTTCTTTCAGCTCAGTGCTGAGGCCCCCAAAAGAATGGTCACAGCCTTCTTCATGCTGAAGAAATCATACCGGGGAATCAACGATCAATTAAAGAATATTTAAGCTTGTCTTTGGTATTAATGAGAG